GTACCACTACACCAGTGTGTAATTCGTTCTATCATGAGAGGAAATAATTCATAACCTTGGGTACTAGGAGGGGAATAAATTCCTTAAGGAAACACTGTGAATCCAGTGCGCACGAATTGACTTCTATCTCTTTATGTTTTCTGTTTATATATTATTGTGCTTTGATTTTTCCCAAATTAATTTACAAATACAATTTGTTAATAAAAAGTAAAGCGGAGAGAGCACGAGAAACGTAAGTCCAGTGAAGAAAATGAAGCTAAAAAGGAAAGAAGAAAATCTGCACAAATACAACTACGTAATAGTGCTTTTGAGATTGAAAATGCTTGATCAAACAGTCTAATAGACGTTACCCCTATTTAATGTGAGTTAGAGTACATCGAGAAAAAGGTGAAAAAAGCTAAGATAAAAATACGAAAAAAGAACTAAAACAGAAAAATCTAATGGAAATTAATTAAGGGAATACGACATTAATAAAAGCAACAAAATGGGAGACACGCTGGACGTTGGTGTCTATGGCCTATTTTTATGATGATGGTAGGTCCTACGCATGAGCCTTTTCAAACATGGTGAATAGGTAATTTGGACTAGGGGTTCAAAATCAAATCGAAATCGAAAACAGAATCGAAATCGAAATTTAACGGTTTATTGGTATCGGGTGAATGGTTTAATGGATGGGGAACAGATTGAATTTTTTTATCAACGGTTTATCGGCTTGGGGGCGGATTATTCAATTTTCTTAACGGATAATCCGTTAACCAATTAGGAATATATATATATATATATATATATATATATATATATATATATATATATATATATAAAATAATCAGAAACCCTTCCTCCTCCAGTACTCTATCAAAGTGAACTAGAATAAAAGAAAGCCAAATAAAAGGAGTCATTTAACTGTGACAAATGACAGAATTTGCTGTCTGAAACAAGATAACATCACCAGTTACACCGCTATTTCATCAACTTTGCCCGGATTTTATGGCATCCTACGATTCTAAGCATGACAAACATTTATTTTAACAACGTCCAATTGGAAATCTTTCACATGGACTAAGGCCAATGTGCATAAACATAAATAAGATTCTAGACAGATGATTTACCCATCATGATGTCTCTTCTGCTTCGTCCCTCTTAGTACGTCGACCACCTATTTAAACATACAGAGACTAAATTTTATTTTATTTTGATTAAATTAGGCGATAAACCGCCCGATAAGAGCTAAACCGATACTAATCCGCCCGATATCTTATCGGGTGGCTAGCGGATTAATACATTTAAAGCTGATAACCAATAAGCCAAACCGTCAAGAGTAAATAATCGCCCAACCACCCGATAAGCAGCCCTAATTTGGACCTTCTAGTAGTCACTTCGTCGAAGGGAGCATTGGAGGAGCGATAAAATTATTTTTGTATGACTTATATATTATAGTTTCGAACCGTAAATATAACGACCCGGCCAGTCGTTTTTAGAATTTACGCCCCGATCCCTTATTTACTGTTTTCCCCAAGTTCATTTCTGTTATTTTGGTTTGCCGGGACGTTCGGTGTTGAGTTTCAGAGAGTTAGAGCTTAAGTGTTGGAAAGTGGTCCGTAGTCGGAACAGTGTGAAGACGGCCTCGAAATGGAAATCCGATGGTTCCGTTAGCTCCGTTAGGCGATTTCGGGGTTGGGAGTTTGACCGGAAGTAATTTTGGAGGTCGGTGTAGAATTAGGCTTGAATTGGCGAAGTTAGTATTTTGGCGATTTTCGGTTGATAGGCGAGATTTTGATCCGAGAGTCGGAATGGAATTCTGAGAGTTGTTGTAGCTTCGTTAGGTGATTTGGATATGTGTGCAAAATTTTAGGTCATTTGGACGAGGTTTGGTTGGGTTTTTGATGGAATGCGTGTTCTGGAAGTTTTAGAAGAACTTAGGCTTGAATTCGATGTAATTTGATGGTTTTGGCGTTGTTTGAGGCGTTTTGATGATTGGAGTAAGTTTGTATGATGTTTTAGGAGTTGTTGGTATTTCTGGTTGAGGTCCCGGGGGCCTCAGGGTGAATTCGGATGGCTAACGGAAGGTTTTTGGGACTTTGGATGCTGCAGAAAATTACAGGTCAGTTGCTGTAGAGTTTTGCTCTATGCGATCGCAGGAGAGGCTTTGCGATCGCATAGAAGGATTTTTGGGGTTGGTCAGTTGTTCTATGCGATCGCAAGAGAGGCTTTGCAATCGCATAGAAGGATTTTTGGGGTTGGTCAGTTGTTCAATGCGAACGCATGAGGACCACTGCGATCGCATAGAGGAACTTGGGAGCTTGAATTTTTGTTCATTGCGATCGCGTGGGTGTTTATGCGATCGCATAGTGTAAAATGCTTGGTCATTGCGATCGCAGGGATGCTTATGCGATCGCATAGTGTTAAAATCAGAGGTGAAAATTTTGTGCATTGCGATCGCATAGAAGAAAATGCCTGGACAGAATGTTAAGTTCTGAAAATGGGACTTCGTTCCCATTTTCCATTTTTGACAATTTGGAGCTCGGTTAAGGCGATTTTTCAAGAGATTTTCGGAGAGGACAATGGGGTAAGTGTTCTTAACTTAATTTTGGTTATATAACTCGAATCTATTACAAGTTTTGGCATTTAATCCGCGAATTTTGTTGGAAAAGTTTAGAAAATCCTCTTGGATAGAATCATGGATTTGAGGGTCGAAATGTTATAAGATTTGGATAATTTTGGTATGGTTAGACTCGTAAGAGTGCGAGGTTTCTGGAAACATAAATTTTACCCGATTTCGAGACATGGGCCAGAGGGGCATTTTGGTCATTTTAAATAATTTCGCGTATTCGCTTAGAATTGAATTGCAGAATCAATTACTTGAATTATTATTTACATTATGCAATTTTATTGAATAGATTTGAGCTATTTGGAGTCGGATACTCGTGGCAAAAGCGTGGTTTCGGGTTGACTTGCACTTGTTCGAGGTAAGTGGCTTGTCTAACCTTGTGTGGGGGACCTTTCCCCTTAGGATGTGATATTTGGTAATTGAATGCCTGGTACGTGAGGTAACGAGCGCGTACTTGAGCTAATTGTTCAAAACCCAAATTTTTACTTAAAAATATTTGAACTGAGTTTCTTTCGTACTTGCTTTATTCTACCTGCCATTATATTCTGTGCTAGTCTAGAAAAGCATGTTTAGTTGATCCAAATTGCGTACTTGCTTAATTTGCCTTAATTGCATTGCGTGGAACATGCTAGGTTAGAACTATCTGTGGCTTGTATTGTTGTGCTTCATTTCTGAATATTCTTTGATTGTGGTTGCGCATTTACATTGGGACTACGGATGCGGGATTCCGGTAGCTCCCCCTTGTTTGTTTACTTTGGGACTACGGGTTAGATTCCCGAGAGATCCCCCTGCACATTTACTTTGGGACTACGGGTTAGATTCTCGGGAGATCCCCCTGCACATTTACTTTGGGACTACGGGTTAGATTCCCGGGAGATCCCCCTGCACATTGATAGTTGGACTACGGGACGGTATCCCGGGAGATCCTTCAGATATATTCATACGGTGGACTACGGGACGGTATCCCAGGAGCTCCTCGGACAGATTGGTAAAATGGACTACAGGACGGTATCCTGGGAGATCCTCATTATTGGTGTTGGTATTGAGCTGTTTACTCTGTGTTATCATATTTTCTGCGCGTCGATTGTTTTTTGTGTAATCCGATTTACTCAATAGCTGTATCTCATTATTTCTGTTTATTTCATACTGTCGTCAACCTTATTATTTTATTTTATCTCAGTAGGGCCCTGATCTTCCTCGTCACTACCCAACTGAGGTTAGGCTTGGCACTTACTGAGTACCGTTGTGGTGTACTCATGCCCCTTCTGCGCATGTTTTTTTTTCATGTGCAGTCCCAAGTACCTCCACCCAGGCGTACTATCCTCGCGAAGGAGAGATCTAGCAGAGACTTTGAGGTATATCTGCCACTTCCGCAGACCAGAAGTCTCTATATTATTCCAGCTTTAGTATATGACTTTCCTTCCTTTCGGTTGTGTAGACATTCTGGAGTTAGAGAAGTGTATTTCATTTCTATTAGCCTATGTTTCCTGTGAGTTTCTGGGTTTTGGGAGTTTGTTTTGGATTTCGTGATATGGGTTGTATTATGCCAAGTGGCACTTATATATAGTTTTCTCTTGATAGTAAAATTTTCAGTTGTTTGCTTCCGCAAGTTAGTTTGTTTTCCGCAAGTTGTATAAATTCCGCATTGTTAGACTTACCTAGTTGTAGGAACTAGGTGCCATCATGACATGTTCACGGAGGGCGAACTGGGGTCGTGACAAGTTGGTATCAGAGCTCTAGGTTCATAGGAGTCACGGAACACAGGCCGGTTTATTAGAGTCTCGCTGATCGGTACAGAGACGTCTGTGCTTATCTACGAGAGGTTATGTAACTGTTTAGGAAAAATTTTCACTTCATTTGATTTCCTTGTCGTGCGATATTTTTGACACCAATCCTAAATTTTTTGCCTTCTACTCTCTCACAGATGGTGAGGACACGTGCTACTCGACAGGGGCGGAGGTACAATAGTGGATGCGGGTTCGGACGAACCCAGTGACTTTTTCCGAAACCCTGTATTTGTATTGAAAAATTTACCATATCTATATAAATATATTTTGCTGAACCCAGTAACAAAAGAGGTCTGCGTTCAATGGTAAAGGTTGTAGGTTCGCTGGAAAAAGATGAGGGTTTGATTCCCCTTTAAAGCAGTATGTTATTTCGTTTTTTTTTTTTAAATATTTTTTTCACAAAACAACTCAACAACAACGTTTTCTTTACTTTCCTTTCAACCGATACTAAATTTGTTGTATTTAAAAGGAAAAAGGCTGCACTATTACATAAAGCAAAGAGGAATTCACTTTTCATTAATATAATATATATAATATACTTATTTAAAAGGAAAAAGGCTGCACTATTACATAAAGCAAAGAGGAATTCACTTTTCAATAATATTCTTCGTTCCACTTTTCACTTTCCTCTTTCTCTCTCTCAATAGGAATTCAAACCGAAATGGTTTGAATTCTCCGGCGAACCTTGCCGCTGACGTATATTCTTCTCTGTCGACTTTCGCTGCCGATCGTGTAAGTACAACTCCGATATTCTCTTTCATTTGCCTTATTGCTTCATCACTGTCACCCAGTACCTTCAGATCGTCTTAATATTCAAAAATTAGTCAGTAGAGTGATGTAGTTTTAATGTTGAAATGATCCTTTTTTAGATTATTTTCTTTTGATCATTTATTTTTGACAGTGCTCCGCCTCTGTGTTGGAATAGAGTCATGTTTCACTTACTGCTATACTTATGCCCTTATTAAGAAGAAAACTTTCATGTCTACAGTAGAGCTACAGTGGAAGAAAATCCAGTGCTTTTTTTGAGACCCTGTATTTGTAATTTAGAACCCATACACTTAGAATCCTAGCTCCGCCTCTGCTACTCGAGATGATCAGACACCCGCGTCCCCTACTGCAGCCGTCAGATGCCGGGGCCGAGGTAGAGGTCGTGGACGCGCACGTGGTACAGCCAGAGCACCTGCGCGAGCTGCCGCTGAGGTACCGCCAGCAGATCCTGCCGGAGTTCAGATACTAGCCACGCCTCCAGTTACTACTGCTCCAGCCCTTCAGGAGACTTTGGCACAGTTTATGAGCATGTACACAACGTTGGCTCAGGCAGGGTTGCTTCTCCTTGTTGCAGCCACATCCCAGGCCGGGGGAGGAGCACAGACTCCCGCCGCCCGCACTCCTGAGCAGCGAGTGCATGTTGAGCAGGTCCCAGAGATTAATCCTGTACAGCCTGCAGTACCAGTTCAGCCCGAGGGTAGGTCAGCTGCTTCAAAGGACGAGCAACAGAGACTTGAGAGGTTCAAGAAGTATGATCCTCCAGTGTTCAGTGGGCTAGCATCAAACGATGCCTTGGGATTTCTAGAGGAGTGTCATCGTATTCTTCGCACTATGGGCATAGTGGAGTCCAGCGAGGTTTCTTTCACTGCTTTTCAGCTTCGGGGAGCTGCCTATGATTGGTGGCGCACTTATGAGATAGACAGTCCAGTCGAGGCTGCTTCACTGACCTGGACCCAGTTCTCAGACATGTTCATGAGAGAGTTTGTCCCTCAGAGTCTCAGGGATACATGGCGCGTGGAGTTTGAGCATTTGCGCCAAGGTGCTATGACCGTTTCAGAGTATGCTATTCGTTATACCAGAATGGCTAGGCATGCACCAGCCTTGGTTGCTACTGTTCGCGAGAAAGTTCGCCGGTTTATTGAGGGTCTTATTCCACCCATCAGATCTAGCATGGCTCGAGAGTTGGAGATGGACATTTCTTATCAACAGGTAGTGAGCATTGCTAGGAGGATCAAGGGTATGCTCGCCAGGGAGCGAGTGGAGAGGGAGGCCAAGAGCTCTCGAGAGTCGGGCCACTACTCTGGTGCCCGTACTCCAGCAGCAGGTCGTTATGGTAGGGGTTTTGTGGGTCGCCCCGTTCATTCAGCTCTTCCAGCAGCCAGCAGGCCTATACCTCAGGAGCCTTATTATGCACCTCCAGTTTTTAGCGTGCCTCCTGCACGGGGTATTTCCAGAGGTCAGTCCAGCAGACCTGGCCCCAGCCAGTCACAACCACCACGTCCTCCCAGAGTGTGTTTCGAGTGTGGCGATACACGCCATATGGTTAGGGACTGCCCTAGACTTAGTAGGGGTACATCTTCACAGATTGCTCAGCCACAACATGCCCCTCAGAATTCTCAGGCCATGATCACAGCTCCAGCTGCTACCCCTCCTGCCCAGCAGGGTAAGGGCGGAGGTCAGGAAGATAGAAGTCGCCCTCGAGGGGGAGGTCGGTCCAGATATTATGCTATTCCTGCCCGTACCGAGGTTGTTGCCTCCGATTCTGTTATTACAGGTATTATACTGGTCAGTCACAGAGAGGCATCGGTTCTATTCGATCCCGGTTCTACTTATTCATATGTGTCTTCTTATTTTGCTCAACATCTGGGTGTGCCCCAGGCTTCTTTGAGTGCCCCCGTTTATGTTTCTACTCCTGTGGGGGATTCTCTTGTTGTGGACCGCATTTATCGGTCATGTTTGGTTATTATTCGTGGTTTTGAGACCAGAGCAGACTTATTATTACTCAATATGGTGGATTTTGATATTATCTTAGGCATGGATTGGTTGTCGCCCCATTATGTTATTCTTGATTGTCACACCAAGACCGTGACGCTAGCTATGCCAGGTATTCCGCGTGTTGAGTGGAGTGGTACTTTAGATCACACTCCCAGTAGAGTTATCTCTTTTCTTAAAGCTCAGCGTATGGTTGAGAAAGGGTGTGCCGCTTACTTAGCTTATGTGAGAGATGTCAGTGTTGATACCCCTTCTGTTGATTCAGTCCCAGTGGTATGGGATTATCCCGATGTGTTTCCAGCTGATCTTCCGGGCATGCCGCCCGATAGGGACATTGATTTTGGCATTGATTTGTTGCCGGGCACTCAGCCCATTTTTATTCCTCCGTACCGTATGGCTCCTCCTGAATTGAAGGAGTTGAAGGATCAGTTACAGGAATTGCTCGATAAGGGTTTTATTCGACCTAGTGTTTCACCTTGGGGTGCTCCTGTCTTGTTTGTGAAGGAAAAGGATGGTTCTATGCGTATGTGTATTGATTATCGCCAGTTGAATAAGGCTACAGTGAAGAACTCACAAAATATGAGTTCTGGTTGGATTCTGTGGCATTCTTAGGCCACGTGGTGTCGAGTGAGGGCATTCGGGTGGATCTGAAGAAGATAGAGGCAGTGCAGGCCTAGACCCTCCTCAGCTACAGAGATTCGCAGTTTCCTTGGCTTGGCGGGTTACTACCGTTGTTTTGTGGAGGGGTTTTCATCGATTGCAGCCCCTATGACTAGATTGACCCAGAAAGGTGTTCCATTTCAGTGGACAGAGGAGTGTGAGGCGAGCTTTCAGAAGCTCAAGACAACTTTGACTACGGCCCCAATTTTGATATTGCCTACTGGTTCGGGGTCTTATACAGTTTATTGTGATGCTTCACGGGTTGGCCTTGGAGCGGTATTGATGCAGGACGGTAGGGTGATTGCATACGCGTCCAGACAGTTGAAGATACATGAAAAGAATTACCCTGTCCACGACCTTGAGTTAGCTGTTATTATTCACGCCTTGAAAATCTGGCGTCATTATTTGTACGGTGTGCCTTGTGAGATTTATACTGACCATCGGAGTTTGCAGCACTTGTTCAAGCAAAAGGATCTAAACTTGCGCCAGAGGAGGTGGCTAGAGTTGCTGAAAGATTATGATATTACTATTCTGTATCACCCGGGAAAGGCCAATGTGGTAGCTGATGCCTTGAGTCGCCGGGCAGAGAGTTTGGGGAGTTTACAATATTTACCAGCTTCAGAGAGGCCTATGGCGATGGATGTTCAGGCCTTAGCCAGTCAGTTCGTGAGATTGGATCTTTCAGAGCCTAGTCGGGTCCTAGCTTGCGTTGTTTCTCGGTCTTCTTTATTCGACCGTATCAGGGAGCGGCAGTATGATGATCCTCATTTACTTGTCCTTAAGGATACGGTTCAGCATGGCGATGCCAGAGATGTGACCGTTGGAGATGACGGGGTATTAAGGATGCAAGGTCGAATTTGTGTGACCAATGTTGATGAGCTTCGAGAGTTGATTCTAGCAGAGGCCCATAGTTCGCGGTATTCCATCCATCCTGGTGCTGCGAAGATGTATCAGGAATTCAGGCAGCACTATTGGTGGAGGCGGATGAAGAAGGATATAGTTGGATATGTAGCCAGATGCCTCAAATGTCAGCAGGTGAAGTATGAGCACCAGATACCAGGTGGGTTGCTTCAACAGATAGAGATTCCGGAGTGGAAATGGGAGCGTATCACCATGGACTTTGTATCTGGACTCCCGCGGACCTTGAAAAAGTTTGATGCCATTTGGGTCATTGTGGATCGACTGACCAAGTCCGCTCATTTTATCCCTGTGTGTACTACTTATTCATCAGAGCGGTTGGCGGGGATTTATATCCGGGAGATTGTCCGTCTGCATGTCAGACAGGGGTACTCAGTTCACATCACGGTTCTGGAGAGCTGTTTAGTAGGAGTTGGGTACTCGGGTGACGATGAGCACAATATTTCACCCCCAGACGGACGGACAGTCCGAACGCACTATTCAGATTCTTGAGGATATGCTTCGTGCGTGTGTGATTGAGTTTAGAGGATCTTGGGATCAGTTCTTGCCATTGGCTGAGTTTGCTTACAATAACAGTTATCAGTCCAGCATTCAGATGGCGTCGTATGAGGCTTTATATGGTAGGAGGTGCAGATCTCCGGTGGGTTGGTTTTGAACTGGGTGAGGCTAGATTGTTGGGTATAGATTTAGTTCAGGATGCGTTGGAGAAGGTTAAGGTGATCCAGGATAGACTCCGTACAGCCCAGTCCAGATCGAAGAGTTACGCGGACAGGAAGGTTCGTGATGTCTCATATATGGTCGGAGAGCGGGTTCTGCTTCGGGTTTCGCCTATGAAGGGCGTTATGAGATTTGGGGAAGGGGAAGTTGAGTCCGAGGTTTATTGGCCCTTTTGAGATATTGAAGCATGTTGGAGAATTCGCTTATGAGCTTGCCCTACCTCCCAGCTTAGTAGGAGTTCATCCGGTATTTCATGTTTCGATGCTCCGGAGGTATCACGGAGACCCGTCGCACGTATTGGATTTCAGCTCAGTCTAGTTGGACAAGGAGTTATCTTATATTGAGGAACCGGTGGCTATATTGGATAGACAGATCAGAAAGTTGAGATCGAAGAACATTGCTTCAGTAAAGGTTCAGTGGCGTTGTCAGCCGGCCGAGGAGGCGACTTGGGAGACTGAGCGGGATATGCGCAGCCAGTACCCTCATCTTTTCACTACTTCAGGTATGTTCTTTATGCTCATTCGAGGACGAATGAATGTTTAAGTGTGAGAGGATGTAACGACCCGGCTGGTCGTTTTTAGAATTTACGACCCGATCCCCTATTTACTGTTTTCCCCAAGTTCATTTCTGCTATTTTGGTTTGCCGGGACATTCGGTGTTGAGTTTCGGAGAGTTAGAGCTTAAGTGTTGGAACGTGGTCCGTAGTCGGAACAGTGTGAAGACGGCCTCGGAATGGAAATCTGATGGTTCCGTTAGCTCCGTTAGGTGATTTCGGGGTTAGGAGTGTGACCGGAAGTAATTTTGGAGGTCCAGTATAGAATTAGGCTTGAATTGGCGAAGTTAGTATTTTGGCGATTTCCGGTTGGTAGGCGAGATTTTGATATGAGAGTCGGAATGGAATTCCGAGAGTTGCTGTAGCTTTGTTAGGTGATTTGGGATATGTGTGCAAAATTTCAGGTCATTCGGACGAGGTTTGGTTGGTATTTTGATCGAATGCGTGTTTTGGAAGTTTTAGAAGAACTAAGGCTTGAATTCGATGTAATTTGATGGTTTTGGCGTTGTTTGAGGCATTTTGATGATTGGAGCAAGTTTGTATGATGTTTTAGGAGTTGTTGGTATATTTGGTTGAGGTCCCAGGGGCCCCGGGGTGAATTTGGATGGCTAACGGAAGGTTTTTGGGACTTTGGATGCTGCAGAAAATTGCAGGTCAGTGCTGTAGAGTTTTTCTCTATGCGATCGCAGGAGAGGCTTTGCGATCGCATAGAAGGATTTTTGGGGTTGGTCAGTTGTTCTATGCGATCGCAGGAGAGGCTTTGCAATCGCATAGAAGGATTTTTGGGGTTGGTCAGTTGTTCAATGCGAACGCATGAGGACCACTACGATCGCATAGAGGAACTTGGGAGCTTGAATTTTTGTTCATTGCGATCGCGTAGGTGTTTATGCGATCGCATAGTGTAAACTGCTTGGTCATTGCGTTCGCAGGGATGCTTATGCAATCTCATAGTGTTAAAATCAGAGGTGAAAATTTTGTGCATTGCGATCGCATAGAAGAAAATGCCTGGGCAGAATGTTAATTTCTGAAAATGGGACGTCGTTCCCATTTTCCATTTTTGACAATTTGGAGCTCGGTTAAGGCGATTTTTTAAGAGATTTTCGGAGAGGACAACGACGTAAGTGTTCTTAACTTAATTTTGGTTATATAACTCGAATCTATTACAAGTTTTGGCATTTAATCCGCGAATTTTGTTGGAAAAGTTTAGAAAACCCTCTTGGATAGAATCATGGATTTGAGGGTCGGAATGTTATGAGATTTGGATAATTTTGGTATGGTTAGACTCGTAAGAGTGCGAGGTTTCTGGAAACATAAATTTTACCCGATTCCGAGACGTGGGTTCGAGGGGCATTTTGGTTATTTTACATAATTTCGCGTATTAGCTTAGAATTTAATTGTAGAATCAATTACTTAAATTATTATTTACAGTATGAAATTTTATTGAATAGATTTGAGCCATTTGGAGTCGGATACTCATGGCAAAAGCGGGGTTTCAGGTTGACTTGCACTTGTTCGAGGTAAGTGGCTTGTCTAACCTTGTGTGGGGACCTTTCCCCTTAGGATGTGATATTTGGTAATTGAATGCCTTGTACGTGAGGTGACGAGTGCGTACTTGAGCTAATTGTTGAAAACCCAAAATTTTACTTAAAAATATTTGAACTGAGTTTATTTCGTACTTGCTTTATTCTACCTGCCATTATATTCTGTGCTAGTCTAGAAAAGCATGTTTAGTTGATCCAAATTGCCTACTTGCTTAATTTGCCTTAATTGCATTACGTGGAGCATGCTAGGTTAGAACTATCTGTGGCTTGTATTGTTGTACTTCATTTCTGAATATTCTTTGATTGTGGTTGCGCATTTACATTGGGACTACGGATGCGGGATTCCGGTAGCTCCCCCTTGTTTGTTTACTTTGGGACTACGGGTTAGATTCCCGGGAGATCCCCCTGCACATTTACTTTGGGACTACGGGTTGGATTCCCGGGAGATCCCCCTACATATTTACTTTGGGATTACGGGTTAGATTCCGGGGAGATCACCCTGCACATTTACTTTGGGACTACGGGTTAGATTCCCGGGAGATCCCCCTACACATTGATAGTTGGACTACGGGACGGTATCGCGGGAGATCCTTCAGATATATTCATACGATGGACTACGGGACGGTATCCCGGGAGCTCCTCGGACAGATTGGTAAAATGGACTATAGGACGGTATCTTGGGAGATCCTCATTATTGGTGTTGGTATTGAGCTGTTTACTCTGTGTTATCATATTTTCTGCGTGTTGATTGTTGTTTGTGTAATCCGATTTACTCAATAGCTGTATCTCATTATTTCTGTTTATTTCATACTGTTGTCAACCTTACTATTTATTTTATCTCAGTAGGGCCCTGACCTTCCTCGTCACTACCCAACTGAGGTTAGGCTTGGCACTTACTGAGTACCGCTGTGGTGTACTCATGCCCCTTCTGCGCATGTTTTTTTTTCATGTGCAGCCCCAGGTACCTCCACCCAGGCGTACTATCCTCGCGGAGGAAAGATCTAGCAAAGACTTTGAGGTATATCTGCCACGTCCGCAGACCAGAAGTTTCTATCTTATTCCAGCTTTACTATATGACTTTCCTTCCTTTCGGTTGTATAGACATTCTGGAGTTAGAGCAGTGTATTTTATTTCTATTAGCCTGTGTTTCCTGTGAGTTTCCGGATTTTGGGAGTCTGTTTTGGATTTCGTGATATGGGTTGTATTATGCCAAGTGGCACTTATATACAGTTTTCTTTTGACAGTAAAATTTTCAGTTGTTTGCTTCCGCAAGTTAGTTTGTTTTTCGCAAGTTGTATAAATTCCGCATTGTTAGGCTTACCTAGTAGTAGGGACTAGGTGCCATCACGACATGTTCACGGAGGGCGAAATGGGGTCGTGACAGTAAAATTAGCCATTTTACTTATATTAAAATAACCTGTTATACTTTTTAAGGGGTGATTCTTTCCCAAACCACGCATAAATACGAAGTGGCTCTGTACAGCTTCTCTATAATCACTTTATTGCCAAGATGGCTGGAGGCTCGGACGCTCGGTGGCACGTTGAAGGAAGATAGGAAAGGAGTGAGCAGTCATAAACGTTTGAAACTGACAATAGCTAATGCTTAAATGACAAAATAGGTCCTGAAAAGTTCCAACTTCGTGATCCTTTTTTCTTCGTATTCTTTCAAAATCCTTTTCATGGAATAAGAAAAACCCTGAAAAATACTCCATATACCAAACACTTGTGATACAAAAGTCATAATAGACTAGCGAATTACGAGAATACCACAAATAATTCCTGTTCATTCACACTAAGTTTTATTTTACCTGAATAACAAAGAATACGAAAGTGATGGGGGGAATTTTTACTCAATTATCCACCTAAAAAACAACACGATTGGAAAGGGAATTTATTATCAATCTCTCCATTTTTTAATACCAAATAATTTTACTTTTCCATTACAATGTCTTCGTAAAATATAGCTATACACAACCTAGATATCCCATTGGGTCATCATGTCTAAAGATAGTAGAGTCATCAGCAAAATTACAAGAGAAATTAGTGCTTTTTAGGGCACAAAGGTTTCCCAGGTTAGCCAAGCTATTACATGTCCTATCCGATACAATTTTAACATAAAAAGATCCTAACTTGTCTGCTGACATAGCTGTCATAGCAAAGCAAGGTGGGACTACATGATGAGATTTTATGTGTGCATCGGCCGAGTAATATTACAAGTCACTACTAGAAATCCGGAAAAAAGCGATCATGAAAAGCGACCAAAGTTGATCGCTTATTGGCCAAAAAGCGACAAAAAAGCGACCAAACACGCCAGGTCGATATTAAGCTGGTCCCTCTACCTTAGGGACCAAAGCAACCAACTTTGGTCTCTCAGGTAAAAGGACCAAATTTTCCTGGTAAAGAAAATAGCGACCAACTTTGGTCGGAACAATATTATAATATTATAATTTTAGCGACCAAAGTTGGTCTCTTTATGTAAAATTACGTTTTTATTTATTTATTATTAATCATAAAATAGCGACCAACTTTGGTCTGTAAAAAAAATATTATATTTTAAAATCTGAAAAATAGCGACCAAAGTTGGTCGTTAACTTCATGGATTAATTTTTTTTTTAGTAATAAGCGACCAACTTTGGCCGCTATATTTCCAGAAATTGTTAGTTTTCTGGGAAATAGCGACCATAGTTGGTCGCTTTTTGTGAAATCTGGGTTATATAGCGACCAATCTTGGTCGCTATTTCCCAAAAAATTATTTTTTTAATAGAAAGCGACCAAAGTTGGTCGCTTTTCTTGGTATATTGCTGGCAGGAACTGCCTGTTTTGATAGCTACACCACTTGCCAGCTTACTAAAATTCCTAAATAGGCATTTTATGCCAACAACAACAACAACAACAAGTAACACCAACAACAAAAAAGCAACAACAACAACAACAACAACAACAACAACACAATAACAACATTATAACTAACAAAGTATAAAGTTCAATAGATCTTTATAATTTAAGCTAACCAAACTAATAAGTTAACTGTTATTACAAAACCATTCGAAAATCGATTGTATTTGTCTAGTATAAACTAATAAGTTCAAAGATTGTTCTGTACATCATTATCATCACTGTCTGATGAACTTTCTTCACCATGACGGTATCCAGAATGGGCTATTTGTGGAGGATGGGAAGAACGATCAAGGGGAGGACGGGAGGAACGAGCATGGGGAAGGCGAGCCTCTGGCGATGACTCACGAGACCGGGGAATCGGAAAACTGCCAGAAGCTAGGAAAGATTTGATCTGCTCTTGCATGCCCTTGTATTGAGCTTGCATGCCAGAGTACTGCATATCTCTAAGCCTTTCTCTCTCCTTGGCAGCTTCTAGCTCGGATGTGAGCTTTTCCACAGTATCCCGCATAGAGGAGAGGCTCTCCCAATCAAGTTGCTCGGCATGGGAGGAAGTCCCTATTCCTTGCATTCCACACTTATAGCGATGAAATTTCTTATTAGGAAGCCCGTATACCTTCCCCCATTTTGGACCGCCAGCAGCCTACGTCCACATTCTCTCAGCATCCTCGTCCGATAGTTAGATTGGCGCGCCCGACTCATTAGGTGGCTGACTGCATATGAATTGCTCCACTTCAGCTGTGAAGCGACCCTATAAGAAAAATTTCATTGAATTACTATTTCAAAATTTATATAAAAGTAAATCAAAATTCTTAATAAAAAGTGAAAACTTACATGTACAGTTGAGGTTCGGCCCTCGACCCATCTTTCTTGGTCTGTCTCTTTCTTCTTCTTTACAATATGAGTCTCCTTGAAGAGCTCATCTTGGTTCATCGGATGCCCCAACTTTTTTTCCTGAAAACTCATAAATTTTAGTTAATAAACAAAATACATATACTTTGAAAATTAAAATAAATTAAGCAATTACGTACCATTCTTCGTTTTATCGTCCCTAGGCTGATCGCACCTCCAGTGTGCAAGGATCCTCCCTTCTTAGATGCCCGGGCTTTCTTTCCTTTTTCGCTCTTCTGTAAGAATCTGCGGTAAGCCATTGCCTTTGCAAATCATCCCATAAATTCTGAAGCAACCAGTCAAGCTTCTGGTTCAACCTCCTAGCTTTGGAGAAACAATGGGACAACCGCTTTCGAGCTTTTAGATGGAAATTTGCAGCCACTTCCGCGCTATAGCGGTGTTCCCATACACACTTGCTCTATATTTCAAAAGTCAAGTATTATATGGAAATATCATAAAAGCTATATTCGATATATTATACTTAGCTTTTATTAGCTAATAATTATTCAAAAGTTAAGTATATTAACTACTTATAATATAATATTAGCTAAATGCTAATAAATGATTATACTGCTTAAAAGAATATTTATACTTTAAATTGATTGAAGATTGCCTCCTTGAGAGCGAATGGGAATTCACTCCAAGTCGCATAAGGACCATCATAAAGCTTTCTGGTGGCTTTGGTGATGATCCTAGTAGTAACATTACTAGGGATGAACCTGCAATTTTATTAAAAAAAACACATTAATATCTTAGTAAAACTGTACTAAACAAAAAGTTAAAATAACAAATAACTCTTACCCGTCACCCTCAGGGACTATGATGATCCTGCCATATTCATCATAATGCACCTCCTCGTCATCATCAATATCATTGTCCGAGGCATGTATATCGGAGGCATGTGTGGAAGGTGTAGGGGGGTCAGAGCTAGTATCTCGCAGGCGAAGGCCTGCAATAGATGGAGTCCCAGATGAAGATGGCTGCGAGCCCTGGGACTGCGAGCCCTGGGAGTGCGACATAACTGTATGGGCCGCAAGTGGATGAGACACAGATAGCTGTGACCCAAGTGGCTGTGACACGGATGGATGTGATCCATGTGGATGTGACATGGATCGATGCGATCCATGAGCTGCTGATGGATGCGATCTATATGGTAGTGAGACAGGTGGACTGTATGTAGGTCGTACAGTCTTATGGCCCTGTGAAGAAAGACATGGTGTCTGCACGAAGGTGTAGGGCTGGTGATGCGCTGGCAGCTCAGAATAGCCTTGGGGTGGAGGCCCAGACATAGGCATAGGCACAGGCATCTGTGAAGAGGCACGAAGGGATTGAGTAGTATCTTCTACCCTCCTCTTTAGTTTCCTAGCCTTTTCTCTACCCCGAGAACCAGTAGGATCACTGTTACCTCGACCCTTGCCTGTCATCTGCATAATATAATACATAGTTAGATTGAAACATATAAAGAAACTAGCTATAAACGAGAGTTATTAAAGAAACCAACTTTTTAAAGCTCATCAACGTATAGTTCCTCGTCCGAGAATTCTTCTTCCTCACTAGTTTGAGCTTCATCAGTTGATTCTTCTCCTCGTTGCCTATAATTCTTACTTCATCTATATCAACTTCTTCCAATATGTGTTCAGGATGTTCCAAATTATTTTCTAAAACTTCGTACACTATTTGGTGAACACTGGAGATATCGTTTTGATATGCAACATCTAACACATTCTCGCCTTCTACCCTACCCACAGGCTTAGTTTTTATTACAACCCACCAATCAGACTTATTCCGCCGCAATAAATAAGGAGCATAATACACTTGCCTAACATTATGTGCAATTATGAAAGGATCATAGCGATCATACTCCCTCGTATGATTAACCTCAATTATGTTGTATTGATTGTGTACTCTTGTACCTCTTGTTGGATGTGGGTCAAACCACTTGCATCTAAAGAGTATCAATTTATTATTTGGCCAACCTGTATATTCTAGTTCTATTATTTCTTTGAGCACACTACAATAATCAATATCTCCATCTTGGTTGCCATCACCACCTTGAACCCACACCCCACTGTTGTTGCTATTTTTATTTTTAGAGCAATCCTCTGTATGAAACTTATAACCATTCACAACGTACTTAGACATGGTTGTGACCTCAACCCTAGGTCCCCAAGATATATCTTTCAAAAATTGATTTACACCACTATTTGGATCATTTACCTACAAATCATTAAATAAATTCATAAGTTAGCATAACTTCCAAACATTGTTCCTACATAGTGTTAGAATATTTTAAGGAGAAACTTACAAATTGTTTGAACCACGTATCAAATCTCGTATATACAGCATCATGGCCAAATTGACCCACAAAGTGACTGTGACACATCAAATATTTTTAGTAGTTGCATTGAGATGTAATCACAGTAATTTTTAGATTTTGATAACTACTAAATCAATACTTACTTGAGATATGGTACAACTTCG